CCATGTCGTCGATCCACCGTTTGTGAAGGCTATGCGTTTTGCACACGCGTCGGTCAAAGTCGTGTCCCACTCAATAGCCTTGCGGCCACACTCGCATGCGACATCGTTTAGCGCCGCCAGAAAAGATCTGCACTGCAAGCGCCGTTGTTGCACACACAAGCCGTCGTATCCAAGCTCTTTGCAAGATCATTCAATGCTCTGCCGTGCGCCAGCTCTCCTTTTGCTGCGCTTCATTGGTATGAATGAGGAAGCTTTGGTTAGACGGCGTAGTGGTGTCACAGCTGATAAAATCGGTGGTGTTGCTGCTGCTGCTGCTGCTGGCTGGACCGTTGTTCGATGCAGTGGTTGCGCTTGCGAGAGGACGTTCCACATCCACTTCAGCACTGGTCCCTGGGGCGTGGCGCCGTGGAGACTCGCGAACCGTATGAATGTGATGAGGGCCGAGAAAACGTACGAGGTCCCTCTCTTGAATCGTCCGTATGGTGGGCTACGCGCCGTGACCTCACTGTTTTTCACGCGGCGGGTACCACCAAGACCTGCCAAGAATGCAAGAGAAGGAAGGCGGAATGCGGATGAGGAAGGCTGGGGACGAGGTCGACTACGAAGATAAAGGAGGGGCGGCATCAGCACGGAAGAGAAGATGGCTCCATCGAATCACCTATGACGGTCACCTTCCAGGGGCAATGAACCGGATTCGCCCTCCTCCCCTCTCACTTGTTCCACCGCCCCCTCGTCCATGTCTTACCGCCCAGTGGGCGTTATCGATGGTACGAATACGCTGCCTGCTCGTTCACCTCCCCATCCTTCCCCGCGCTCCTCGTCATCTGGGGTCTCTGGAGGTCACCAGAAGTCCCTGGAGGCCCCCCCGAGGTCCCTGGAGGCTTCTGGAGGCCTCCGCAGACCACGAAGGTCAGAAACATTATCGGAGGTGAGGGGGTGACATCGAAGTGGAACGGAGAGCCCCCCTACCCGGAAACCGGCTTCGGTTTCGTGTTCGTGCGTGCCGTGCGTGCGGGCGAGGCGAAGCTGCGTGGGCGGGCGAGACATGTCCCGCCTCTGGCTGAGGCGCGGCCGGACCAAATGTCTCCCTTCCGGCAAGCGGTGACGCGCGGTGTCCCGCCAGTGTCCCGTCGGTGTCCCGATGATGATGATGATGATGATGATGATGATGATGATGATGATGATGCTGCTGCTGCTGCTGCTGATGATGATGATGATGATGATGATGATGGCGATGTTGTTGATGATGATGATGATGATGATGATGATGATGATGATGGCCATGGTGGTGATGATGATAGTGTCCTGATGATGATGATGTTGATGATGCTGATGTTGCTGATGATGATGGTGTCCCGATGAAGAAGACAATGATGTTGATGATCCTGATGATGCTGGTGATGGTGAGATGATGATATGATGGTGATGCTGATAATGCTGATGATGGTGTCCCGACGATGATGATGAGGTTGATGATGATGCTGTTGATGATGATGGTGATGATGATGTTCCGATGGTGATGATGATGTTGATGATGATGATGACGATAATGGTGTTCCGATGATGATGATGATGATGATGAGGGTGATGATGAGGTGCTGATGGTGATTTTGATGGTGGTGGCCCGATGATGATGATGCTGATGTTGATCATGATGATGGTGTCCCGATGATGGTGACGATGATGATGAAGATGATGATGATGATGGTGACGATGATGATGGTGTTCCGATGATGATGTTGATGATGTTGCTGATGATGATAATGTACCCATGGCGATGATGTAAGTGATGTTGTTCATGATGATGAATGATGGTGATGATGGTTGTGTTCCGTTGATGATGATGGCGGTGTCCTGGTGATGATGATGTTGATGCTGATTATGGTGACGAGGATGGTGTCCAAATGATGGTGATGATGATGATGGCTATGGCAGTGATGATGATGGTACTCCGATGATGATGATGCTGATGTTGCTGATGATGATGGTGTCCCGATGATGATGATGTTAATGATCCTGATGGTGTTGATGATGATGAGATGCTGAGATGATGATGATGATGGTGTCCCGATGATGCTGATGATGATGAGGTCGATGATGATGCTGTTGATGATGGTGGTGGTGATGATGGTGTCTCGATGATGATATTGATAATGCTGATGACGATGATGGTGTTCGGTGGTGGTGATGATAATGGTGTTGATGATGACGATGGTGATGAGGTGATGGTGATTTTGATAATGGTGGCCGGATGGTAATGATTATGGTGCTGATGTTGATGACGATGATGGTGTCCCGATGATGATGATGCTGGTGATGATGATGGTAGCGGTGATGATGGTGTCCCGATGATGGTGATGTTGATGATGATGATGATGATGCTGGTGATGATGATGGTGTCCTGATGATGATGTTGACGATGTTGTTCATGATGATGATGAGTTGATGATGATGATGGTGTTCCGATGATGCTGATGATGGTGTCCCGATGATGATGTTGATGATGATGATGATGACGATTATGGTGTCCCGATGATGATGATGGTGATGATGATGTTGATGCTGATGGTGGTGATATGATGATGATGGTGTCCCAATGAGGATGATGGTGATGATGATGATGATGTTGATGACGTTGGTGACGATGAGGTCAATGATGATGATGATGATGATGATGATGATGATGATGATGATGATGATGACGTTGATTGTGAGATCGATTGTGATGTCGATAGTGATATCGGTAGTGGGACCAAATGTGAGATTCATTGCGAGATCGACAGTGGGATCGATTGTGAGATCGATTGTGGGATCGATCGAATGAAATAGATCGAGTGATATCGATTGTGAGATCGGTCGAGTGAGATCGATCGAGCGAGACTGGTAGTGAGATCGATAGTAAGATCGCTAATGAGACCGATCGAGTGAGACGTTGGTTCCCCCCCCCCCGAACCCCCTTATCACCCGAAGGGTGGTCGTATAGGTAAAACATATATATATATATATATATATATATGCTCGATTCTCGATCCCCCTCCTCCTCCTCTTCCTCACCCTCCTCATCCTCCTCCTCATTCCCGAGCTCCTCCTCCTCCTCATCCTCCTTCCCCGACCTTCGTCTTCCCTAGTCAGCCCTCGCGCCCTGCCCCTTGCTGCATCCCCAGAGGCTGGTGAAAACCCTCTTCCTCCGCCTCCTCCGCCCATCCCTCCCGCCCCCCCGCACACGGAGGTCTTCGAAGACCCGCAAAAGTACAAACCACACAAAACAGCATTGATCCTCCATCCTCTCCAGCCTCCTCCTCCTCCTCCTGCCTCATCCTCCAGCCCCCCCCTCCTCCTTCTCCTCCTCCTCCTGCTCCTCCTCCTCCTCGCACCATCCTTGCTGTTTTTCCCCTCCTGCCCTCTCTCCCTGCTCCTCCTCATCCTCCTCTAGTTTACCTCATCCCACTACTCCCCCCTCTCGCCCTCCTCCCCTCAAGCATTCACGTCCTCCTCGTCCTTTTCGTCCCCCTCCTCCTCCTCCTCGCCCTTGCCCTCATCCTTGTCGTCCTCCTCCTCCCCCTTCTTCTCCTCCTCCTTACAAGCACCAGCACCAGCACCAGCACCAACAACACCATCATCATCACCACCACTAACATCGTCATCTTCATCACCATCATCGTCGTCATCATCATCGTCATCGCCATCGTCATCCTCATCAGCATCGTCAACACCATCATCGTCATCATCATTGCCAGCACCATCAACGACGACATCATCACCACCAGTACCATCACACCATCACCATCATCGCGATCATGACCATCACCATCATCATAAGCATCATCATTACCTCTGCCACTAGAACATTATCATCATCAGCAGCAGCCATCATCATCACCCCCACCCCCACCACAACCACAAACACCATCATCATCAGCAGCCTCATCAGCAGCAGCACCATAAGCACCATCATCATAACCATCACCATCATCAACATCGCCATCACCATCACCATCGCCATCATCATCGTCACCATCATCATCACCAGTACCATCACCACCACGCTCATCATCACAACTATCATCATCACCACCAACGTCATCATTAGCACCATCACCACCATCACCACCATCAACATCGTCAATATCAACATACCATCTGCATCATCACCATCATCACCGTCAGCATCAGCATCATCATCAACCATCATCATCAACACAATTATCATCATCAGCATCGTCATCACCATCGCCATCGTTATCATCCTCACCACCATCATCACCATCAACATCGCCATCACCATGACCATTGTCATCGTCGTCATCGTCACCCGCGTTGTCCCCGTCATCGTTGTCGTCATCATCATCATCATTACCACCTCACTCATCATCATCGTCATCATCATCATTATCATCTATATCGTCATCAGGATCATCATCACCAGAATGATCGTCATCATCATCAACATCATCATCAACATCGTCATCATCATCATAATACTCATCATCATCATCATCATCATCATCATCATCATCATCGTGACCGCCGTCGCCATCACTATCAGCATCGCCATTATGATCACCATCAGCATCCTCATCACCATCGACATTGTCATCGTCGTCATCGTCATTCTCGTCGTCAACGGCATCATCACCATCGTCATCATTATCTTCATCACCAGAACCACCACCACAATCATCAGTATCGTCATCGCCATCATCATCAACAGCGCGTCATCATCATCACCACCATCATCATCACCATCATCATCGTCACCATCAGCATCAACATCATCATCAGCATGAGCATGAGCATGAGCATCATCATCATCATCATCAGCATCAGCATCGTCACCATCATCATCAACATCATCATCATCATCATCATCATCATCATCATCATCGTTCCCTTCTCCTTCTCCTGCTCATCCTTCTCCTCGTCACCCTTGCCCTGCCCCCTCCCCTTCGTCCTTCCCGCACCGTGCTCCCGCGGCAAGCGCCCCCCCCCCCTCAGCAGGCCGTGGCGGCGCCGTGCAGGGCTGCAAACGCTGGACCTGGCAGGGAAGAGGAGGGGAAACCGCCAGGGAAGGAGAAAGGGAGCAATGAGAAGCAAGGGGCGGGATAACGAAGAGAGGGTTGGAACGAGGACGAGGATGAGGAGGACGAATAGAAGGAGGAGGAGGAGGAGGAGGAGGAGGAGGAGGAGGAGGAGGAGGAGGAGGAGGAGGAGGAGGAGGTGGAGGCACCAGCCCCCCCCGCTGCGGCAGTCGTCGTTGGCCGAGGAACCGTCCCCCTCCAACTGCTACGTGACGCCAGAGTTGAAGGCTGACTGGTGGGGGCGGGGACCCAAGCAGCCCCCATTGATGGAAGCTGCGAGGGGTGTGAAGCCTACTGACGGTCCTCGCTGGCGAGGCCCTCGCCGAGGGGAGGGGGGAGAGGGAGGGGTGGGGCGCAGCGATAGTGCCGTCTGCGAAGCAACCCAGTCCCGAGGCGAGACTTCCTGGAAGGCGGGGGCAAAGCACAAGCGCGGCGCACACAGCTTAGACTCCGAACTGAGCAGGCCCTGCGCACTCGGCATCCCGCGGGGGGGTAACGAGCGCGCGCGCTCACGCTCTGGTGCCAGTCTGTTGCCCGGGTCCACCTCAGGTGGTGGAGGAGGAGGAGGGGGAGGAGGCGGAGGAGGAGGAGGATGGAGGAGGAGGAGGAGGAGGAGGAGGAGGAGGAGGAGGAGCGGACGAAACGTGCCCCCTCCCCAAAGGCAAACCATGGGCCCCGGGGGCCAGCCGCGCCCCGCCGAGAGCATGCCCGAGCAGGGGGAGGCATCCCCCGGATCAAAACCCAGAGGGAAACGATGAGGGAAAGATTCGATTTCGGGGCTCCCTGGAAGTCGCGAAAAATCCGGACGGGAGGTTTTTGCCAATTTTCGGTCTCGGGGGACCCCCGCTGGGCCTCGGGACCGTCAAAGAACGACTCCGGATGAAAAACCGGTCCCGTGGAAAGGGTCGGGACTTCCAGGGGCCCAGGGGCCCCAGAGGCGCACGCATTGGTTCGATTTCGCTGCGCCCGCAGGGGCGGACAAAAAATGTGCCCCCCCGCAGTGGGGCAGACCGATGGCCCCAGAGACAGCCGCGCCCCGCCGAGAGCTTTCCCGAATCAGTCCACCGAGGAAGGCACAAAGCCAGCGACGTTGCACCCGAACACAGGGCAGACGCCATCGGCCACGCGGCTGGGACTCGAAGCTTGCAGCACGTATGCAACGCAGTCCTTTGAGATCGCACCCCGCGCGGGAAAGAATGGGTCGAAGGGCATAGGGGAAGAGCGTCCCGGCGCGCCGGAAAAGACCTCAGGACGACGACGAGGACGAGGGAGACGGGCGGGGGGAGGAGCGGAGGAGCAGGAGAGGAGAGGGGAGGATGGGGCGTCTGGTCCTTCGCTTCTCGCCCGGCCACGGCGCTGGTGAGGTCCCGAGGCGGGATCCCGAAAAGGGCCACCTGAACCTGATCGCACTGCTGGGCGGGGGCGGCATCTTTGAAAACCCAAGGGGGTGCCCGAAAAAACGGCAGGGGCCCATGACAGGAGCGGAGAAACGACGGCCAGATAAAGAAAACAACAAACATGGGGCAGGACGGAGGGGCGACAACGCGAGCGAAACGACCAGGCCAGGGGGAGAACAACGTGTTTGCAAAAGCGAGCATTTGTGAACCAATGGGTTCCTGGAGGCAGACCCTCACGACAAGCTTGCGGGCAGCGGGCCCGACCGCATGAGTGCCACGACGGCACGGGTCGAACCGTCACACATGATCGGCGGGAAGAGGAACACGACCGCATGATTGCCAAACAGCACGGATCGAGCCGTCACCCTCGGAGTGCGATGCGGGGGTGGCCAACATGAAAATTCACTGACACTGACAGGCGCAATCAGCCGGCAAGGGAATGAATGCCGTTCACGGCCCAAGGGAGGATAGAAATGGTGGGTGGCAACTGACGCATCCACTTGCACGTGGTCGCGCATGTGCCTTGAGGTGGAGGTACGCGTCGGCCCCCCCCCGCCCCCCAACACGGCCGTCTTCGTTGTCCTCGGCAGTCCCAATTGACGGCGGAAAGCCCCGTTGATGGAAGCTACGAGGGGCGTGAGGCCTACTGACGTCCTCACCTGCGAGGCCTAATGACGGTCCTCGCCGAAGGGAGGAAGGAGAGGGAAGGGTGGGGCGGAGCGACGATGTCGTCCGCGATGCGTCTGGGTACGGAGGCGGGAATTCCTGCAGCGTGGGGCAAACACACATAAAAAATGCATCCGCAGCTTCGACTCCGAACTGAAAAAGGCCCTGCGCGGAGGAGTAATAGTAGTAGTAATAGTAGTAGTAGTAGTAGTAGTAGTAGTAGTAGTAGTAGTAGTAGTAGTAGTAGTAGTATTAGTAGTAGTAGTAGTAGTAGAAGTAGTAGTAGTAGTAGTCGTAGTAGTAGTAGTAGTCGTCGTATTTGTAGTAGTAGCAATCGTAGTAGTAGTAGTAGTAGTAGT